TTTAAGTTACTCTTGCCAAATTCATCATCAAACAATAATTTAAACATATTCATCAAAAGTACCGATGAGTCTAAGTGAAGGGAGCGTCTCAATTCTGCATCATAACATAGTATCAGGGATGTGGCGAAGAGAAAAAACATGGGGTGGTGCAAAAGAAATTTTTTCAAAACTTCAGGGTGTATTCAGGAAATTTTTGAACGTGAGAGGATGTATTTAAAAAAATTTTAAAAGTTGGGGTGGTGCAAAACCTCCTTTGTCCATCTAGCGATCTTTTTTTTAATAAAAATACAGATTTTTGCTGGGAAACAGCGAAGATTTTCAAAAGTTGGGGTGGTGCGCACCACCCCGCACCCTGTGGTCGCCACATCCCTGCATAGTATTATCTCAAAATTACTTCCAGCTTATAAATAAATTTAATGACGTATATGAGATTCATAGATACACTAAGTCAAATATTTGCTTGCAGTAAAATGAAAAAGAATTAACAAAAAACTTGATTTATTGACAAAAATAAGTAGGGTTTTTTTTATGTGGTTTTAACAATCAGTAAAATAAAAATTCATTGCTGGCTTGGTTTTTTCCAAGTTAAAATTTACTCGTTTTATACTTTTTTTTGATCACGAGAAGAAAGAAGTGCATAACTGATTTTATTTCTTTCGAATCTGAAATCTATTTTTAATACGTTGAATATGAGTCATCGAAAATGAGTGAAATCATGTCATAGATCATAAACGGTTTTATAGTTAGTAGTATGAATGTAGTGATAGAGTGTGTTAACATAAATATCATAAACAAAAGTGAAATGAGAAATTTAATAGCTTTTGTAAAAATCCTTTTTAATATAAAACTAGTAATAGATTCAGTTTTGTTTTATTGACAGAGAAACTTATCGTCATTACACAATAATATGATATCTGACATATACTACGTCTCATTTTGTCTCTAGGTCTCATTCAACAAACGAATTGAAATATAATAGATGTAGGAAATTATTTGATGAATCATTTTAAAAACAAGAAGCACAAGAATTGTTTTTATCTAATGATGACTCATGTTAACAAATGGAAATTTCCAACTCTTATCTAGCATCATTTGAAAGTTGACTTTTGCAACAGTCGTTCTGTTTTTTATATTGACTAACATATAGATTCAAACATGATTCAACACATTTCATTTTAGATCTACTCGAAATTATTCATTTTGTTGCTTGAGTAGCAGTAACAATTAGTATTCATTGTTTTAAGTAGGACGTACTTCTGTTGATATTAAACAAAAATGGTTGAAAAGAATGATTTCAAGAATCATATATCTATCATATTAGGAGGACCTGAATGGTTGATTGAAATAAAAAATCCTACAATTAAAGCAGTTTCAACATTACAAGAATTACTTATTAATATATTTGACAACAATATGTCATATCATTTGTTCATTCCTAGTCAATATCTTACAAAATTGATCGAAAATCATGTTCATAATTTAGTACAAGTAGATTCTATTCATAGTTATTATAATTCTGCAATTGATTATCAATCGCATACTAAATTTTATGAAAGTATTAGCAATAAAGTTCATTTTCTGATGACAACCGATCTAATCATGAGATTAACTGCTGCCTTAGATCCAGATTTGACTTCAAAGTTGGTTTCAAACTATGCATCGATCTCGAAATCTAAGCATGTGAAACGAAAAAGAAAGACTAAAAGTAGTAGAGTTACTATTTCAAATACAGTTTCTTTCGATATGAAATGTCATAAATGTTTATCAGTATTTCAAGAACCTTTTCAACTTGTTTGTGGACATCGACAGTGTCGATCATGTATCGATAATCAAGAAGGGTAATCACAATCAATTATCTATCTTTCTTTTAACGTTGTATCCAAATATTTTTGTTCTATAATTTAGTTCAATCATTAAGTGTGTGGACTGCCAGGAAGAAACATTACGAGAAGAAGTATAATACACTTATACATCAAATTATTCTTTAAAAAAATAAATAAACTTTTTCTATTTTTTCAGGCATGGTTAGATGTTGGATTTAAGAAACAAATAGATCAATTTAACGAGATAAATTTGCATAAAGATTTATAAATGATAGACTGTTTGTCAGTTCTAATATATATATATATATGTTTTACACTTTCAAATTTATACATTAAGTTAAACAATATTTATTTATCTTTGATTTTAATTAAAATCGTTTCTTATATTAATATATCGAGAAATCTATTGTCAACATTGTCTTCATTTTTTTTTCTACATGTCTAAAGTTAATTAACATTTTCATTCATTTCATAATAAATTTTGAACTCTTTACCTCATGAATGGTATCGATCAGGTGCCATAATTATATTAATATATGAAACTATTATCACATAGTTTGTGTACATTTTATCATAAATAAGCAACAATTAATATATTGATTAAATTTAAAATAAAGAAAAAGATCACTAAAAAAATACCAACTTCATCGTTTATTGAAATATTCTTCAACGAAAATAATCACTGATTACGTTTTAACAGTAGCGGCGGATTTTTATCAATATAACATTTGTATGAATATTGATCAACAATGATATTTTTCGATGCTTAGAAAATTTGTTTATTCCTAATAATTTCGAACAAACGCATATATAAATGAATATTTCTATGAATATCTGTAAGCAAGAGCTTCAAAGTGATAGAGGATTAGAATTTGATAAAGCCTAATTATAATTTGAATAATCTTCCAAATACACGCAAGATATTACTGTTATTTAATTCATTGGAAATTTTTCATATATACACATAGAAGCATTTGTTATATATAGATTAAAAGACTATTAGTACAGATATCTATAGTTAGCAACACTATCCCAGAATCATAAATACATAGACTTTTATCGAGTTGCATGAGAATCCTTGCCAAAATTTTTTGAAATTTATCGGTTTGATGACAACTTAATACAAACTATTGATGAAATTACTGTTTTTCATCTTTCTTTTATTTAATTGCTTAAAAAAAGGGAATGCCATGTTTTTTGTGTCGAGGAGGGAAAGAACAATATAACATATAAAATCGAGTACTAAGAAAGAAAAAGTTCATTGAATAGATGAATGTATGTAAGGTTTTTTAATTGCTTCGGA